GATAGATAGATAGATAGATAGATAGATAGATAGATAGAGAGAGAGAGAGAGAGAGAGAGAGAGAGAGAGAGAGAGAGAGAGAAATTTAGGGAGAAGGGTATTGCATTTCCCTTCATTCATTTGAGTCAACAAATCCAAATCTCCAAACACCTAGTTATCATACTAGTAATAAAAGTAGTTTTGCCTGTTTTAAGCATTCCAGTGTACGCCATGTCCTGTGGGCACATGGTAATGCAAGTTAGTGCTGTGAGTATCCGAGATAACATCAGCTGAAGGTGGAAGATATTGAAAGAAAATGAAATGTAAGTGATCCAATAAACACCATTTCCAAGGATTGGAGCTTCAGCTACAGATTGTAGAATCATCTTCTTTGCAGGATCACGTGGAAAACGGGGCACTTGATTTTCTTACCTATTGAGTATCATCATTTTGATGAATGTCCACATTGGTCGAATTACACAACTTGTTTATGAAGTTTCGAGTATTGTCTAACGGCCCGGAGTTACTCATCCAGTTAACCAAGCAACTATAATGTTTCTCTTGAAGGAGTTTTATGATCCTTTACACCAGACTCAGAGTTCTTTAATTTGTTGAACTAATCCTTAATAGATAATAGTAGGAGGAACAACGGAACCCAGTTGTAACTGCCCCTTTCACCATAAGTAAGCACAGTGTGGATATGCGTCTCTTAACGACCTTTTATTGAAGCCGCACTAGTAAAAGGAACCAAAGCATCACAACTAAGCAAACGTCCAACCAAATGTGTTTATTGCATAATGTAGACAAAATAATAAAAGGATGACAGAAACTACCCTTACTACATCATTGCTTATCTTAGTTTTGTCCACCTTTATGCCACCAAAAGTTGAAAGAAATGATATAACAGTAGTGGAACTTCCAACAACTATAAGAGTAAAAATTTCACTCTTCCTGAATGAATAGGCCACCAGCTATCTTTCTGTTGCAGCAAATGATTGCTCACAGATAGGGGTGGCAAACAAACGGGTCGGGTCGGGTCAGATATGAACGGGTCAAAAACGTGTAATGCAAAAAGGATAAATTATCTGACCCGACGCATATTCAATATGGATAGAAAATGGGTTAACCATTTTCTGAAGAGTGGAGGTGGAGTACAATGGTTCCGCTGTATAAGAACAAAGGCGATGTTCAGAGCTGTAACAACTATAGGGGTATCAAATTACTGAGTCACACCATGAAAGTCTGGGAGAGAGTGGTAGAAACGAGAGTGCGAAGGACGGTATCTATTTCAGATAACCAGTTCGGGTTCATGCCAGGGCGATCTACCACAGAAGCTATCCACCTTATTAGGAGGATGATGGAACAATACAGGGATAAGAAGAAGGATCTCCACATGGTGTTTATTGATCTAGAGAAAGCGTACGACAGGGTTCCTAAGGAGGTCCTATGGAGATGCCTAGAGGTTAAAGGGGTCCCGGTGGACTACATTAGGGTGATTAAAGATATGTATGATGGAGCTAAGACTCGAATTAGGACAGTAGGA